TAAGGAAATAATTTATTTACCAATATTAGTGTTGGGTATTTTTAAAACATATTTAAAAGTATATTTATAAGCATGGCTTAGGTCCTGAGCATTATGTTAAGCCCTGCAGATATGGTAGAGAACAAAATGGACACTGTCACTGCCGCCACATAATCACTCATATAGATCACTTCCAGTCTAATTGGAAAGACAGACAATAAGAAATAAGTTAATTAATTAATAAGACAAATACTAAATAAATAAATAAAATTGGACATTGTGATTATTTGCAATGAAAGAGCTATAGAGAATTTATAACTATTAATAGAGAGTTATAGCTATTGAGAATTTAGAATGGAAGGTTAGAAAAAGCTCCTTTTAGGAACTGACCTTTAAAGACAGGCTTAAATGATGAATAGGAGTTAGCCAAATGAAAAGTTAGGAAAAGAAAGAGGCAAGGGAGAACATTTTATGTGAAGAGGAGAATGTGTTCAAGATCTTTCCTGAATCAGCAAAGAGCTTAGTGCATTCAGAAGCTGGCAGAAGGCCTGTGTGGCTGGGACTAGTGGGTATGGGGAAAAGAGATAGACTGGAGACCTTGGGCAGTCAGCTTTGAAAACTTTGCTCTGGAATAGGGATTGTATCTAATGACAATGGGGAGCTATTGAAGAGTTTTAACTGACAAGTAGCATAATCACTTTTGTGTGTTAAAAGTTCACTTTGGCTATAGTGTAGAAAATGGATGGGAAGCAAAAAGAGAAAGACTTGATGGAGAGTAACCAATTATACCCTGGCAAAGAGATGGTTGTGACTTGAAATATGGTGGTGACCCTGGAGATAAAAGAGGAAAGGTGAAGAGATTCTGATGGGGTGCAATCCGTAAGACCTGGTGCTCTCCTGTCGACCAGAGTGTGGAGAGGGAGAGGATCACCGAAGACTCCCAGAACTCAAAAATAAGATCCTAGACAAATAAAAATCCTGCTTCCTGAGAAGGGGAATAGTGGAGGACAAATTGATTTGTTGTGGAGAAGATCAAAATGTCAGTTTTGACCATGTTAATTTTGATCTTATAATCTCTTTGATCTCTATGAGCTATCTATGACACAAGAAGGACATGTTGGGTAGGTGATTGGCTCTCTGAGTCTGGTCAGTCTTTAGACTTGCAGCCACAGAATCACCTGGAACTTTAGATTATCTGGTTCTACCGCAGGCCTAATATATTAAAATCTTTGAGAGAACATAACCAATTTAATACCCAGAGGTTAAATGCAGTGGGGAAAAAAATCAGTTATCACTGGATAGTTGCACTAGTTAACCTTGAAAGTCCTTGACAACTTTGAGTGACTAAAAATTTATGACTAGAAAGATGGCCAGACCAAGTATTAAACCTATCATTATTTTTTAGGAATAAATGTGCTGAACAAGCCATGAAATACTCCTGGAAAAGAAAAGTTATATCTAGATCCTTCTATTTACATTGCCGTGTTTGTGTCATATGATGCTGTCACCTTGACCATGAACTAATTGATCTAGAAAGCAGACCCTAGGCAAAGTCAACTACCTAATTGTTTCCGTGGTTTGTGGGATGATCTTTCTTAAGAATCTAGTCCAATTGTCGCAGTATTCTGGATGGTAAGTAATTTACCAAATCAGATTTTTTTCTTAGGCCAGTGGAGAGGGGAGTGGAAAAAAGTATGCCAGAAAAATAAAACCATATTGATAAGTAGGAACATAAAAGTTAAGGGAAAATCAGGCAGAAAGAGAAGCAAGAAGAAACGGAAGTAGAGTCACAAATATGACAATCAATAGAACAAAGCTCAAGAGATACCTACTTCTGATCAGATGACAGTGTGGCTGGATTCCCCAGTTTATTACAGTTTATTTATTCAACAAGTATTTATTGAGCACTTGCTATGTGCCAGGCATACATTCTAGGTTCTGGGCATTCCCAAATGAATAAAACTATAGTTCTAGGTACATCATGGTATAGAAAACAATAAGGCGGTATGTCAGGACATAGATGCTAATGGTAGAAGGGACAATTACCAGGAAAGGAAAGGCTTCTCTGAGGAAGTAACATTAGCTGGGCCACCTGTGAGGCCACTTGGATAAAGAGCATTCCAGGCAGAGAATATGGAAAGTACAAATGCTCTGAAATGAAAGTCTGTTTGGCATGTTTAAGAATAGCAGAAAATTCCATGATGTTGGACACCAATAAACAAGGACGGTGTACAAGAACATGAGGTTGAAGAGAAAAGACAATGCATCTCATCCAGGGACTTGTAAGCCATGGCTGGAGTTTTAATTTTATTTTGAATGTAACAGGAAGACATTGAGGATTTTAATCAAGGGGATGGCATTATCACATTTGTATGTTAGAGGAATTACTCTGGCTTCTATGTGAAGACTAATTTGAGGGGCAAGAGCGGAAGCAGAGAGACCAGTTAGAAGGCTACTTTAGCAGTCCCAGCAAGAAAGAATGATGGTTTGCACAAGGTAGTGGCAGTGGAATATGTGAAAACTAGTCGGATAAAGGACGCATTTTGAAATTAGAGCTAATGAGTGTAGACAATGAGTTGGGTAAGAGATTGAAGTAAAAAATTACACAAAGGATTTTGTCTCAACGACTGAATACAATTTAATGAGATGGGGAAAATCAGAAAAGAGCCAATGAGTTTGGTTTCGAATATGTTAAATTCGAGAAGCCTAATAACATTCAAGTGAAGAAATTTGATAGCTAATTGGAAAAAGGAGTCTGAAGTTCAGGAGATGCTAGGACTGCAGATATAAATTTGGGTATCATCAGCATATCAGCCCTGACAGTGAGCCTGTTAGAATGGTTTCCTCTGCCCTATTTCTTTCCCTGAATACTTTCATATAAAACTCTCATTACAAGAGGTAACCTGAACGTGTCTCTGTTTCCTGAAAACTGGAGGAGCCTTAAGTACCACCATAACTGAAAGAGGGGAAAATGAATGTAGGCAATAGGAAACTAGTCTGTCTAGGTATTCATTGAAATGGCATAGGTGGAATGTGGTATCTCTCCCCTACTGCCACTTTGGCCTCTGTGCTCAGTAACTCCTCACAACCTAATAAGAGAGGAGAGTAAAGAAATCTTGCTAATTTGTTTTTGTTTTGTTTTGCTTTACTAACCGGTTACTCACTGGATCCTTCACGAAGCCCTAGTTGGCCTGATATTTTTTCATAACTCTTAATCACATCTGTTACTGCTTTGGTCTCACAGCAAAGTGTTTTTTACACTCCACAATTGTATGTTCCACTGCAAATTGAAGAATTATATATTTCAGAGCAATAGTATTAGTGTATTTAGTATCTTGGTAACATTTCCTTTGCTAATTCATCTTTCTTATCATGAAAGCTCCTTAATATGCTCATAAGGCACCATGTGTTATTACCATTGCTTAATTTTGTCTTGAAATATTTATTTCTAGTTCTTAGGGACAAGTAGAGTGAACAAAACATGTGATTTTGCTTTCTCTTTTCTTTTATCAGAAACAGGAGACTTACCTAGGTACTAACTGGTTATAAATGAGGACCTAAGTGGCTTGTAATAATACCCTGATAGCCTCTTGAAAGAATTATTGTGCTTTCTCAAGCTTTTAACTCATGACCCAAAATGATTATCATTGAATGACCATCTTTGAGGCCTTAATGGTAGTAAGGTTATATGTAAAAATGTGCAATATGACTAACTTCCCTAAATGTTAGATCTCACATTCTTATGATATTTGAGAACTAAATATAATGAAAACCATGAGCCCTTGGGGCCTTGATTTTAAGATTTCACTTTAAAAATGATACTATTTTTTCTGAGGACATGAGAACAGTATTAGTTTAGTTAAGCTAACCCAAAATAGAACAGAAGAAATCATTGAGTAAACATATATCTTCCATTGTTGCCCATTTATGCCCAAATTGATATGTCTTGAAAGTACAAGATAATTTACGATAGGGAAAATATCTTCAAAATGATTACATTTATCTTCAGAGAGCGATGCCTGATACTCTCAATAATTACCCTGAAATAAATTACAGTGCTAACGATTGCATTATTTACTGCAGTCTTACAAACAAGCAAACTTGGTGTTTTATGGCTTCACAGAAAGGAAGTTTACTGAAAGTAGCTATTAATGTGTCCACTTATATCCCACCTCCCTGAAAATGCCTCAAATCTAGAGAGAATAGAGAGTGGAAAATTTCACTCTCAATTTAGACATCTCTCCAGACTCCAGAGGAAGCTGTTCAGCTGGCCTCTCCTGTAGTTGAAACCAAGCTGGACGACTACATGATAATCCATTGGGCCAAAGGCCCAAGCGCCAGACTGGAACATGAGCTACTGGATTGAACACACTCTGCCTTATGTCAGGAACATTTTGGTGTGAGAAATAAAAGAAGCCTTTCCTGGAATTTATGTTGGTCAAAATTCTGACACACTTAGATGTTCTTTTAGCAGTTCTAATTTTGGGTGGAAATGCTGGGAAAATGCCAGAATCTCAACTAACTTTCTTAGTTGTTATTTCAACAGCTGTTACATATACAGCTAATAGCTGTTCAATTTGGTTTCTTAGAGCTGCTCCTGATACAAGGCAATGAGGCGACACTTTACATTAAATCTACTCCAAATTCTACTTGTTTAAGCCAAAAATAAAAAATGGCAATCATCTGCCAGTACTGTCAAGAGTAATAAGGGATTCTGGAAAAATCTTTTTAAGGAAAATGTGTGAGGAAGAGTAAAAGAAAAACCTTTGTCATTATTTTGGAAAATCTGAATTTCCAGACAGATTCTGAGACATCTCTAATTATTCCTTCTTCGATCACCAATATTAATTCTTGATAAAACTGACTTTTAAATAGATAAAGTATCTTACTAAAAGTCACATTACTAAGTTTTAGAGTTGAGACAGTGCCAGCTTATTATCAAACACATTGTCCCGGAGAACAGACAGCTTGCCAGCCATGAACTCAACCCAAAACAACCCGAAACAGTACCTGAACAGTACCTTTCATCGCAGGTGGTGTGTACACGCTCTGCTTCCTTTGCTTAGGGGATGCATTCTGTGACTGGACAAAAAGGAAAAAAGTAAAGATTTATATATTGATAAAAGGACAATGTCATCAGCTCTGTGAGGGAAATAAACACTGTGCCATATTTCAAAGAGTTTTCTGATTTCCTCCAACATGAAATAGAACTGTAATCAATGAGAAATTATATACATGTTCACTAATAGTACAGTATTAAGAGATACATGAAGCTACAGGATATATTTAATCATAAAACTCTTTATCTATTGCAGTCTTGAAATTACTTTTTATTTTCTAACCTAGTAACTTCATTTTATATTTTTAAAGAAAGAGAAAAAGGGTCATTAATCTTTTCCATTTGAAAGAAAAGCATAAGTGCCAAGACGAAATATACTCAAAACCTATGGAGTAATTATCCTGTTCACAGGATTGCTGAGTGGTTCTAGAGGAATGATTAGTGTCCTTGGTCAGTAATACCAATCTATAACCCTCTGGAATTAATAAGTTCAATTTAATATCTCCACTTACTTGGAATTACAATGTTAGGATAATATTCTTTTCTATGTACAAAAGGTAAGTCTTTTCCTAACAAAAATGCTATTTAACACCCTAACCTAACTAAGGGCCCTGGTTCAGGATGTCTTTCTCTCTACAGATGACCCTTAAACAATACAAGGGTTATGGGCGTCCACGCCCTACCCAACCAAAAATCTGAATATAACTTTTGACTCTCTCAAAACTTAACTATAGTTGGTCCTTCACATCAGCAGAGTCAACCAACCACATTCAGGAAAAAAGTAATTTCCATCTACAGCTCGGAATTCGGGGCTGGGAAACTGCAAGTGGGAATGAGAAAATACAGTATTCAATCTGCAGTTGATTGAATCTGCATACACAAAACCCACAGATTCAAGAGGTAACTGCATTTATTGAAAAAATCCATGTGTCAGTGGACTTGCAAATTCATACTCATGTTGTATATATATATGTATATATAATATTATTTATTATAATAACATAAAGACTCCTTTTTAATAGTGTGTCAATTTATGTTTCAATGTGTCAAAGGCAGGTGTTTTAGTGTCTGCAGCAATTATTTTTTCTTAGAAAAGCTCAAGTATGAATAGTTACTTTGGGGAGATTAATTTAGACTTGCTATGCATATTAGGAAGAACATTGTGTACACAGTTTAAAAGAAATTAGAAACTGTTTCACAAAATCGTAAATAGAATTTGAGGCACCTTTCCTCTACATACTAAAGCTTAATTGTTCTCAAAGGTACAATCAAGATGTTGGCGCTTACCTGATGCAAAAACAATCTATTAAAAAGCAAAAAATTCAACTGAATAGTTGCCAAATTCATATCAACCAAACATATAGTACAAGAAAATTTATTTAGAATAAAACATTTTGGTACCAGTCCATTATGCACAAGTGCAGACAGGGTGACTCTACATTAATGTAAACGTGTAGATGATTCACATTTCCAATTTACCTCTATTGTATTTGGTCACTTCTGGTCGATTTTGAGAAAAAAATCACTTCCCAGATTTCTTATATATTTATTTTCATACACATATTCAAAAGTCAAGTAGAAAAATTAATTCTACAGAAAAGTCTTTTTAATAACATAGTAGTGAAACTAAAGTTAATAAAAACTACTTTATATTTATTTACAAGTTTAGTTTCCAATACATTTTCAAATACTCTCTTTAAATTTTGAGTATTTTGGTATTTGTTCTTTCTAATTTTCCTGAGTGTTGCTATATGCGTACTCATGCAGCCATGGGAATTGACAAGTAAGTTTGTATGCATCTTATTCAATATTTGTTCCATTTCTGGGTGCAAGTTTACTCACTTCCTTGTGTTCTATATTATCAGCTCCCCTAATCACTCCTGGTTCCTATGTTCTATCTGAACTCCTACATGTGTATGTTGAGACTCTGGCCTCTCAATCTGCTCTCAACTCCATACACCAGAAGATCCTTTGATAGGTGTCTATCCCCCATCTGTTGCTCCAGAATTCCAATACTGCCTGTCCCAAGACTGTGGTGGTCATATATAAGCAGTTGCTAAATTGAAATTATCAATACCACATCTTGCCACTAAAAGCAATGATTTATTTTAGAACTTTTTTCAGGGGTTATCATTTTATCATTTTCAGGGGTAGAAAATCAAGGAAACTTAAAAAAGAGATTTAATGGCACTTTTTACTGTTTGTTCAGTCAGAAAAAGCAAACTAATTTTTATATCATAGTTAAACCAATATATTTTACATCACATCATATCAAACTGATTGTAGTTTACTTGCTCTGAATACCTACTTATACAAAATATAAAAAAAACTTACTTCTGCTTGTGTGTTGGTCACCCTCTTGTCATCTATTTCTGCAAGAGAAGTAGGTGTAATTTATTAGGTGATATTCTTTTTTATAAATGCATATTAACATTTTCAATAATGTAGATCAAGATATTTCATAACTACCTGTTCTTTTATAATGTCCATGGCTCAGTCTAATGGCTGATAATGAAAGGATAGCAGAATGGTGTGCTTTCCTTCTGAGATAGCCTTCTCCCAAAGGTTTTTAAAAAGGCAATAAAAAAATCCCTTCTGAAATCCCAAATTGCCCATCTTCCAGCAGTCTAGAAAGAAGGCCAAGGAAATGGCTCTTAGAACAACTCCTGGTGTCATCAACCTCACAGTGCTAAGGCATAAACCACTTCTCTTCTCATGGACTTTATTGCCACTGCTTACTGACTCTAGCCTCTGTCAAATTTCCTCAACTTTGCCATTAAGCAGAATAAACTTCCTTTTCCACTCAGCCCTATCACTCTTACTCTGAGGCAGCACTCTCTTTTCCATATTCCACTGTAAAAATTAGTTATATTGTCAGAAATATTTCTTATGACAGTGTGCTAGGGCAACTTCTACATCGTCTGTGTAAAAATAGTTGTGAGGAAGGGAAGAGAGAAGACAGACTTTTTCACATACTCCCCATCCACAAAGGGAGGAGGTTCCAGGCTAGGCTTCTTTCTTACTCCTCACCTACTTTGCAAGGATTCTGCCTCTAGGCTTCTTGACCCAATTACCCTTTTCTGACTCTTAGATTAGTCCCAAAGCTGAGAGACTGATCCTGTGATCCAACAACTGAGTGAGAAGTTCATCAAAGAGTATCTCCTTAAAAATATAGATCTGTATTTATTGACATGAAAAGATGTGCTATGTAAATGAAAAGGAGTTGAAAACTATGTTATGGTATTTTTATTTTATACAGAATAGGTAAAATATAGATACAGAGATGAATGAGAAGTGCATATATATGCAAAGAAGAATGTATACCTATATGTTAAACGTAGTTATCTCTGGATAATTGGATAACACATTCTAACTTATCCCTACCTGTAGTGTTTGCTTTTCTTTTTATAATAAAAATGTCTTACTTGCATCACAAATCTTTGTATATGTATGTATATGGATATATATAAAAATACACATATATACATAGTAAAATTTTTATGTAAATCCATGATGCATAAAGTTGAAATTTCATATACTGAGACCAAAGTAGCCAAGCAACTAGAATGAATAGTATATGGAAGTACTATTTATTCTAATATTATATCTTGGTTACCCAGTTTTTAAAAGTTATGGAACCTTCTGATGAATTTTACCTCCATTGAATAGGAGAAGGCAGACAACAGGAAACTATTAGTTAAGGACAGCAATCGCAATTGTCTGATGCAATCACTAGAAGTATCTGGCTCATTCTCAGGCATCTGTGAATATATTGAATTGAAAGTTCTATCTGAAATCTTTTTCTATTACCTTTTAAGTAAATATCAAATGTGATCCACCCTAAAAATACATGTATTGTGATCCATTGAGTTGTTAAATGCTAATGGGTTTTTTAATATTTTGTTTATGCCTTAGTAGTTTTCAAAATTTAACCCAGGAATCATAACCTATTGTTTTAGCAACAAAATGGAGTCCAATCATTCAGCTTTGCGCTTTTCCTATTGTCTGACTATAACACACATTAAAACAATGCCTTTCTAAGGCAAATATTTAGACTTTACTCATTGCATAATTCAATGAAAAGGATTTTATTCTTGTTGAATTTTGTTGACATAGTCAACTATTTTTGTCATAAAGACAAGGATTGAGAAAATTCAGTACTGTGTTCTTCAAACTAAAAAGTGAAAATTATATGAATTTCAAGTCAAAGCAACTCAGACAAAAGTACATGGCAAGCCAAAATCGATCATGGCTTTTTAAAATTTTATTAAATTTATTGGAGTGACTTTTGTTACACCCTGGCCAATCCCAGAAGTGTTTAGGAAAGCCAAATGAAATATAAGGATATATTTCTTTAAATATTGTTTAGCTTTCTCGTTAAACCTGGAAAAAATACTATATTCAGTAAGGTAGAACACAATCAGTGAATACATGAGAGGTTTGTTAAATGATTATTGATAATCTAAAACTACACATCTTCGAAATAGGTTTTTGTACTTATTTTAGCTTTATCTTATCTATTTTTTTTCTCTCTCAAGTGCCATTTGTTCTAAAGGAATTAATATTTTACTTTGAGAGAAAAATATAAAAGTCATCTGAGCATAACATTTTAAGGAATATTATCATCATTGAAAATGGAGTTAGAGTTAGAAATAGTCTAGAAAGGTTTGAGTATCGATTAGTTAGATTGTTCTTGAGATATTTAAATTTATTAAAGGAATAGGACAAACTCAAGATCCATGTGGATATGCACATAAACTGCAAACACAATTGTCTGATTGCCTTAGAAATATTACTGAGATCTCCTCAGTTTTGGAGGAAAACTAGTAATAAAAAATTGCATATAAAAATGAAGTCTAAAAGAGAGGAAAATAAAGAAGACCATAATCAAAGAATAAGGAAAATTTTATGAACTATAATAGAGTTATAGACCTACAAAAACTAAGAAAAGAACAAAATATAAAGAGATAGAAAACTAAGGAAAGCCTAGAGCATCTTGATTGTGGCTGACAAGAAATTTCATTCTTAAAAAAAAGCACTGGAGAGGATATACAACTTCTAATATGGTTCTTCTATTTATCTGACATGACCAGAAGCAAGTCACTTAATCTTCATGAACTTCAGGGTTTTTCCCACTTGTGAAATGGGATTGAGAATAAAAAATATTTTTAAGAATAAAAAATATTTTTAAATGAGAGTATAACTCCTCCTAAATATGAGCTACATATAGTGAATTCCTTTTAAATAGTAAAGTATGGAAAGGGAGAAGGTTTCTCCACCTTTACAGTGGAGAAACTTGACAAGTATTAATTCAGCCAGGTAATTAAGGTAAACACCAACAGTCATAAACTATGTTGATAGTATGAACTCTTGATGTGATGTGATGAAGAAGGTACTTTACTTCAGCAATTTCCATAAACCCAAAAACCCATAACCCCAGTCTAGTCATGAGAAAAACACCAGACAAATTCCAATAAAAAGATGATGCTGGGAATATAGCAAAGTAGGAAGCACCTGGAATCTATGCATCTAGACAACAATTATATTGAAGGAATCTATCTGATGCAACTATTTTGGAACTTTGGAGATTATTAAAGAATTGCAACTTCCAGGGGGAAGACTTGAATGGTAAATTTTGCTTAATTTTAGTCAATTTCAGCTCTGAGTAAAGTAGCCGCTACCCATGCCCTACTCCCCAATCCGATGGCAGGCTGCCATGTACATATTTCAGGAGCCACTTACATACAATTTGTGGGAGCCAGAGTGGGTAAAAAGTATCCTGTTTTCCAAATATCAAAGATCTGTGCTGCTTCTGATCTCAGAGGCACAGACAAAAAGATAAGTTGCAATTATTGTTGCACCTATCCCCATTGTTACAAGTCTCTCCTCCTCAGTCTGAAAAGACTTCTGGGTGATTTAAAGGGTTAATGCCCTTTTCCTGCTCTTTATTTTTCTCTTTTTCCATTACTGTGAGCCAGACATTAAAGTCTATGAAATTCAAAAGCAACTGCATATCAGAAGAAATTAGAAAGTGACTGTGCATACCCAGGGAAAGATGCAAGCTCATAAAAGACCAAAGAAAACCTTAAGTTTATACCTCGGGTGAATCCTCCACACATAGACAGCCTGTGACAAGAAACAAAAACAAAAATCCCAGAAAACTCTGGAGAAGTAGGAGAATCTGACTTCCAGAGTCACCAAATTATTAGATCCAAATGTCCAGTTCTCATAAAAAATCACAAGGCATACATACAAACAGAAAAGTATAGCCTATTAAAGGAGAAAAAAAAATAAACAGAAATTGTCCTGAAAAAACTGATGACAAAGACTTTAAAACAACTGTCGTAAAGATGCTCAAAGAACTAAAGGAAAATGTGGAGAGAGTCAAGAAAATAATATGTGAACAAAAATAAAGAGACAGAAAAACCTAAAAAGAGGCTAAAAAGAAATTCTGAATTGAAATAACTGAAATGAAAACTTCACAAGATGGATTCAAAGGCAGATTTTAACAGGCAGAATAAAAAAAACATCAAACTTTAAGACAGAAAAATAAAAATTATTGAATATGAGGAATGAAAAGTAAGAAGATTGAAGGAAAGTGGACATAGCCTAAGGGACTTGTGAAAGATCATTGAATGGACCAAAACACAAATTATGGGAGTCTCAGAAGGAAAGAAAAAAAGAAACAGAGAGAATATTTGAAGAAATAATGGCTGAAAATTCCCCAAATTTGATGAAAACCATGAATACAAACTTCAAGAAACTCGACTCCAAGTAAGATGAACTCAAAAAGACTCACATTGAGACACATTATAATCAGACTTTCTAAAGCTAAAAGCAAAAAGAGAACTTGAAAGTAGCAAGAGGTAACTCATCACATACAAGGTATCCTCAACATAATTATCAGCTGATTTCTCACCAGAAGCTTTGCAGATGGGAAGGTAATGGGACAATACATTTAAAGTTCTGAAAGAAAAATTGTTGGCCAAGAATCCTCTGTTTGACAAAATTGTTCTTCAAAAATGAGGAAGAAATTGACATTACCAGATAACCAAACCTGAGGAAGTTTGTTACAAGTAGACCTTCCCTACAAAAAATGCTCAAGGCAGTCCAGGTTGAGTAAAAGAACTCCAGACAGCAATAGGAAGCTGTATGAAGAAACAAAAATCTCAACAAAGATAAATACCTAGGCAGTTATAAAAGCTGGTATTATTGTAACAACAGTTTGTAACTCAACGTTATGATTTCTACATGATCTAAGAGAAAAATACATTTAAAAATAACCTAAAAGCTAGTATTACTATAACTTTGGTTTGTAACTCCACATTTTGTTTTTTGCATAATTTAAGAGACTAATAAATTTAAAAATTAT